ATGCACTTGGCGCCCGAAAGATCTTAGAACGACGTACTAGTGATGGGCCGAACTTCTGCCGAATAGAAAATACAGCGCCGAATCTTGGGATTCCACAAAGCCGAATCTTTGCCAAATTTTTCTAAAGATTTGGCAGAGATTCGGCAAGAATACGTTGTCGCCGGACCTAAGAGTTGATATATTGACACGGATGACAAGTGATGAAACGACGAAAATTGAAATAAACTAAACGTTTAAGGGAGGAGGTGGGGATGGGCAATAACTTTTTTGCTTGTGGGTGTATTTATATCAAACTTTGCAAACGTAGTGACAATGCTTATGCTATAAAACAGACAAGTTTTCTTTGGGATATCTCTGCTAACATTTTATTTACAATATTTTACTTTTTGAAAGTTAGTGGAGGGCCTCCAGGTTTTCCAAAACATAATACTGAGTTGCTTGGACTTTGAGTGCATGCCCAAATGCATGCTACACATCATGACATTCCCGCATTTTTAATTTTTTTTTCATTGTTATTTTTAACTAACATTGTTTTCCACTGTGGCACTTTCTAAAGATGGCTTTACAAAATTTCTGAACATTATTTTAGAAAACTGAGAATGTCATGATGTATGCAATGGCCAGAAGAGTAATACAAAACAAACAGAACCCAAATAGTCCAAGTGGTTCCCAAGATATTGGCTCCACAAGTTGAATGGATAGCCAAATTTACAGTTTTGAGAAAAAAAGGTTGAATGTTCAAAGTTCTATTGTCCGCCCTAAAAGCCTTCTTTTGCCTTGAGACGTCTTTCTCCAGGGCCCTGCAGAGTGCCAGTGCTCCTGGTTGGATCCCGAGAGAGTAGCACAACTCTTCGTAGGCGCGCAGGTTACCAGAGTTGAAGCGGCAGATTGCCTCGCTGACAGCAGTCTCTGCTGCTATCAAGGAGGCATGCTGTTCCTTGGGTAGGATAGACCAAATGACAGAATGAAGGCTCTCAGCTGCATTCTGGGTCTTCCCTCCCTTGCACCGTTCGAGGAGTTGAGGTTCCGAAAGGCGCTGGTAGACGGGTAGGAGTGCGGCGGCAACGTGGCTCGCAAGCTTGTACTTGTGTACTGGTTGAGGTCGCTCTTCAGCTTCTGCTGCTCGGTGCCTGCACCAGCTGAGGGCACCGGGAGGGTCGTGATGCGGCTCTTCATCGTGGACGTGATATGGTAGAACGTCGCCATCACTGCCCTTTGCATTTCTTTTACGTTCGAGTTGTTCCGCAGAGCCATCCCATAGTAGCTTGCGAGTCGCTTGATGAGGTCCTGAGTGAGACCCCCTCTTCCGCCAAGCGGCTCTCCCTTCTTGGCTTTGGTGACGAGAGCTCGCAAAGCAGAACCCATTCTCTTTTGAACGTGATTCACACAATCTTCTTTTGTGAATGGGATGAATCCGTACGTAGCATCCTCGTTGAGGGCCGAGAAGGTGCGGCTGTCCCCATCACAAACAATGTTTGTATACCGGAGATCGTTCTTGGCCAGGGAACGGCGAAACAACAGCAGCGCAGCTTCGACTTCCATTCTTCCTGACTTCACATCCGTGTTTTTTTGGCAGACATGCTCTTCGTTCTGGGCCAGCGTGCACCCAAGGCACAAGTTACAGAGGACGACAAAGTCTATGACCAAACCCGTGTAAAATTCGATGACAGTTCCTACACCGACGTGCGAGGTGTGACCGCGGGTCATTCACGTTCCGTCGTAGACCACGGTCCCATTTTTTGTGAATGTGGGATCCATGCCTGTGTAGACCTTGCGTACAGCAGCCACAGCATCAACAAATACACTTGCTGCAGCTGCCTCTGAAGCAGGGTGGAAGCTTGCCTTGAGGTGGCCCTGGAATGTCTTATGGTGCATTCCTCTATGAGACAGATTCATAATAGACCAGAAGTCTGTGAGAGCTGTACAACCTTTCCCAATACTTTTGATGGCTTGGATGGACCTCAGGTTCACTTCAAACGTTCTGCCTTCTTCTCTTCGTGGTGATGACCATTCGCTCTCAACGGGACCGCATGTGGGGCATGTGAGGATCACTTTGAAGGCTAAACCGAGCCTTGTGCCTTGCTTGATGGTCAACCCGGGTTGCGAGCACTGCTGGCACGGCGTGTTTTTCAACAGAGCACTGATTGCCGAGATCTGAACCAAAATAAATTCTTCATCAGCTGACTCTGGTCTCGCGGGTAGCTCTGGTCCCATAGCATTTTTGCCCTGGCCGGTAAGCAGCATCTTTCGTTTCGTTGCGGTCACTGAACTGAGTGACTCGCGAACCGCCGCGGTGCGCTTGCGGGATATTTCCGGCGACAAAAACTGTGGTTGCAACTGAATTTGAACAGTTCGATCGCTGTTCGTTGAGTCTGCTACATCCAGCGTACCTGTGGTGTCCGCAGTGCCAGTCACTGGACACGCGATCTCGGAGGCAGCATCTAGCGGCGCTCCAACAAAGGGCTCACTTACGGGCGTTGAAGGAGCAACTACTATCCGGCGTTTCTTCGCCATCGGAGACTTCCACTTGCGGTGTCCGAACCGATGTGTAGTCCAATACTTCTTTTTGAACGAGCGCCCGTCCATGATCGCAAGTCAAAGTCGGAACTAACGCAAGTAAACACTGCGATCGAGCAAACCCGAAACTCGCGTGCGATTCCGAAAGCACCACCAGGAACCAGAAAGCGAACGTGGCGGGAGCGGTTGCTAGGGGCAACCGCGGCGCGAGCCAATTACGGAGCGCGACACAGCACGTAGCCAGAGAGAGCCAATTGTAGCGCACCATTCACGTCTCACCGTGCTTCGCTCTTTTCTTTTTTGTGTGTTTACTTCTTTCAGGAGAAGAGCGCCGTCACGGGAAACGGAACGATTGCCAAAAGCGCTTTCCATCGATACCAAAATGGCCGCGCCCAGTCGCCGCATTTCGGAGATACGAGGGCTTGAAACATGCGCATTTCTCGCGTTTTTGAGATCATTTTTTTGCTACCCGCGCTGATATAATTGATCATGAAGGATATATGTAGTTCGTTTTTAGATAAGAAACTTCGCGATCGCGTACATAAAGACCCGAGGATGCCGAAACTTTGAACTTCTAAAAACCAATTTTTTTCACATATTTTGCGATTCGATCCCCGCGTCCCCCCTTAATGGGGGCGAACTTGTGCCCAAATTAATAAAAAGAAAAGGAAACAGAATAAAGCAGGAGAGTGTCGCGGGCGTCGATGTCGGCGAAACCGCAGGATCGAGCGCTGGGGCGAGACTGAGTCCGGTTCGCCACGCAGCGCCCCTTATGTACATGCGAGAGCTTCTGGAATAATCGGCGTAGAATGTTCGACGCGTAGAACATTCGGACCGCGAACACGCAACATGATTCTCGAATCTACCAGAAAACTAAATTGCAGGAATAACAAAAGATGTGGCGCTCCCAGGAATCGAACCCTGGCTTTTCGCGTGGGGGCCAGGGGCGATAACCGTTAGGCCACGCGCGCGCTGCCTACTTGGCCAGCTGCGCGCGCGGCAATACCGTTTGTTTGTGCGAAAAAAGATCTTAGGTTTCTTAAAATGCATATTGACACAGGTATTACTAAATAAGGCGATATTCTACAAGATAATTGTATCGGCGTCATTTTTGTGAGTTTACTGGTAATTTTAAAGTGACTTTTTTGCACAAGTGGTGTGACAACGGGGTTGGGTAGTAGCGGGGACAGTCACGATACCCGAGTTTCAGTTTTGAGGCCTTATCAGCGCAAGCCTGCAAGTGTGTATTGTTGAAAAAAAGGCGGTAACACTGAGTTCTTTTATACTTCCTCTGCCAGTCGTCGTTTCGTGCACAAAAATGAATGAAAAGCCTTCACGAGAAGAGACAATAGTATTGTAAATATGCATATTATTCTATTTGAGTCACTTCAGCTTCGCATGAAAGTGTGCATCCCATATTCGTAACGTCTCCTTTTTAACTTTTAATTCTGATGTTAGGACACATCGGACGTTTAGGAAGATGGATATAGTTAGGAATGTTGGATGTGCAACGTCGAGAATGACAGTTCTGTGTTTAGTTTTATGTGGATAGATAAAAACCGCGAAATGACGCTAATTGAAAGGCAATACTATTTTGCCTTGGCACGAACTACTTGGGAGCCGAAAACAGGATTGCTAGAATGGCGAGGAGTGCTTTAAAGTACTAGTCTGTTAATGTTGTAACTACCTTAGTAAAACATATAAAATAGCGCAACAGAAACAAGGACAAGAAGTAAACAGGAGAGGCGCATAGCGCCTGTCCTGTTTACTTCTTGTCCTTGTTTCTGTTGCGCTATTTTATATGTTTTACTAAGATGAACCAACTAGCCCAACAACGTACCTTTGTAACTACCTCTTTGCTTCACTGGAAAGATCAAATGAAAATCACGTTATCCCAAATGTTCCAGATCATTTGTCACTTGCTCAGAGGACTGCGTCACTTTTGCGTCTATTTCTGGTCGATCTTCCATTCTTGAGGCAGAAAATATTAACAAACGCACAGTTACCATGTCGCCTACTCCGTACCTCACCGTAACCGCTGGTAGTACTGTATTTCAATGGCAACTGCTTGGCATCCATTTGTAATCAATGGCACCGTCGCTTTCTCGCGCATGCGCATACGTCTGCCGAATTTATGCCGAACTTTCCTTCAAACGTTCGGCATGTGCCGAACTTTGCCGAATCTGTGAAGTTCGGCAGATTCGGTCCATCACTAGTAACGACTGGTCGGAGGATTTATGTGTTGTCTTGCATTTAGTTACATCTTCGGGGAAAACAAACGTGATTATTCAGATTCACAAAATAAAAATACTCTAAAATTCACCTCTGACTCGTTAACCTCTTCAGCTTCCCTGTGGCTGAGGGTACCCGTGTAAATATGGTATATTTGGCAGTAGCTGCTAACCCTACTTAAGCATAACTGGGGATTAAGATTAGTCAAACTCAACTGCAGTTCAGGGTATTAGACACAGCCAGTCACCCACCTGTGCCTGCTCGAGCTTCTTGAGCAGCCGGAGGTTGGGGTACCCGCCGTGCTTGGAGTGGTATGCGTCCCAAAGCTGTCCCAGGTCCAGGCCTCCGGGCTGTTCCATGAGCAGGGACACCAGGCGGCGCAGCTCGCCAAACTCCCTCGCCGGGGGGCTCATCTCCACCTGATTGAGAACCTTACTTATACTGGCTGTTTCCTTTTAGACTTTGGAAATTTTTCTACAAGAAGTACCAAAAGCCAGGCAAGTGCAGTCTGTGTAGGTGAGTGATGGTGTATACACACGATAGAGTTCCAAGGAGGGGATTAAACGTCATCCAGCTATGAGACCACGTGCGCCGCATCACGTGGTCTCCTAACGCGTTTTCTGCAACGTTAGTCCAACAGCCATTGCCATGAGTCACCAGAGAAACTGTTATCACCAGCCGGCCAAGAGCAGCAACGTCCTCCGAGATATCAACGGCACTGAAACCAGAGCAGTTTAGTGGGTGTGGCAGCCTACGCGACAACATGCTCAAACCACTTTTCAACGTCCGGGTTAATGGCAAATGCCAATATGGATTGAGAAGTAACAATTTGTTTCTCATTGTGCTGCGGCACACACAACAGCTACTGTGTATTTTCACTGAGTGTTTTGATGTGTGTTACCTCCTCTTACTCTCTGGAGATATTGAAAGTAATCCAGACCCAGATACGGAAGAAACCCTATAAAAGCTTTTGGTAGGTCAAAATAAGATATTCGAGGCAATTAAGGAAATAAAATCCAGCCAAAGAAAGGTCAAAGAAAGAATAGGTGCTATTGACAGTGATGTCATTGTCCTCAGCCGTTTTGGAGCACCTTTTGGAGCAGCCAAAACAGTGTTTCGGAGCAGCAAAAAGTGACTTTTGGAGCAGATATTCTTAGAATATCTCAAAATATTTGTTTTAAGAGCTGGATAAACGAAAGGCAATGACATGAAACATTTTGCAATGCTTCAGTTAAATAATACATATAAATGTATCCGCTATAGATAAATAAGAACCAAACTGCACATATTAAATTTATTTGAAAATGGCCAGCTTAGTAGTAGCAAATCTTAAAGTAAAGAGTTGACTACCCGATTCGTCGCCCACCCCCCTGCCGCCTGAAGTTCATAAAAAAGTGAGGTGGGCCACGTCTCGGTGGGTGAGCACCAAAAGTTGAAAAAAAAGCGGAAAAAACCACCCATCTTTCTCTGCGTATCTAGCGCTGCTGCACATGATGTACATTAAACTCAAAACTCGACTTAGTTTTATTGTTTTATACAAAAAAGATGCTCATGAAAGAATGTTTTACTATCGCGAAGTCCGTTGCTTGCATACGCGCAAGGAACACCGCCGATCTGCATACAGCGCGAACGTTTGTTCCGTGAAAGCACGCCGCCACTATGTTCTCCTAGTTCGTAAAAAAAAAAAAGTCCACAAGAAAATACAAAAACCAACCAGGCGCAACGAGCGAGCCAGCAGCGAGCGGACCAAAGAAGCGACGAGCGGACCAAAGAGGCGACGAAGAGCGATGCTGGGAAAGCGAAAAGCCGGCGATCGCGTTGGCAAATACTTTGGCGTTTGGAAAGTTGTGCAAGCTCTTGCGCAACTTTCTTGCTTGGTGCGTACGTACTTGCGTGCGTCCGTGCACGGCGTGCTATAAATGGGGGTTTGGGACGCTCTACGAATGTCTGTGTAAGGTGCTCCAGCAAAGCTTTATTTACGCCTTGGCTATGTCTGAAACATTGCACAACCGCGGTCGCTATGCTATGTGCAAGGAGAAAAAGCGGGTTCGCAGCGACCTTACTCCGGCGGAGACAGACTTTGACCTTACACTCCGCGGTTACATTCCAGGATATGGGGCGTTCGCTTACCTCGCGATCCCTGGGTTACTGCTTGTGTTATCTTTCCGATTTTTTTCTTTGTCAGGTCGATTGGTTTGTAAGCAAAACAAACTTTTATGTTATTATCTCCATCGTTTTCTTTTCGCACAGATACGCTACTACTTCGGAATCGCTCACGGAAAAAATGGGTAAACAAAAAGAAGTGTCCTTCACATCTTCGTTTTACTTTGAAATGGATGTCCTCGAACTGTAAGGTCCACGGCTGCTTCATTCGGTTAGGATGAGTGTTCGCGGATCGCTGAGTTCGCGTTGGGTATTTGAAGGGCTGGGCGATGACTCTGTGTTTTTTTGGAAATCGATATTGGCCCAAAAAATGGGGTGGGCGATGACTCGGGGATGGGCGATGACTCGCGATATTACGGTAGTTATATAATAAATGGAAGCAGTCTCCGAGTGATAAAACAGATAACTACTGCTGGTTGGTTGGTTGGTTGGGGTTTTATGGCACAAAAGCATCTTAGGCTATGATGCGCCAGATACACAGACTATTGCAGATAGGATTTCGAAGAGGATAGAACTTTAGTAGTTGATGATAGATTAAAACTATGTGTATGACTTGTAAGTAGTTATGGGCATGAAGTTGGGTGTAAAATCATAGTCGGTGTAAAGGCCGATAGCTTTCAAGAAGCTAAAATCGCAGTGACGCGGAACTAATGGTTCGTTGCCAAGCAAAATAGAGAGGTTTAAAGGCGTATGTTCTTTATATAGCTGAGAAAATGTTTCCGTCAGTCTAGGTCATAAGCAGGGCATTCTAGTAATATGTGTGCGACAGTTGAAGGATTATTGCAGTGCTCGCACTCTGGGGCTTCCTCCCTGCGCAGAAGGTGGCCATGGGTGAGGTGCGTATGCCCTATCCTTAGCCGACACAGGACAACCTCATAAAAGCGTTCACGGTGTTTTGCACTCTACCACTCACTAAGCAGTGGCTTTACAGTATGCAGCTTGTTATTTACTTCTTCATCCCATTCTTGCTGCCGCTTCTCTCTCATACGATGCCTTAAAGGTCTGTGATAGTCTTTGTATGGAATGTCATGCAGTTCGACTTCTTTGTCACCAGCAGAACTGGCTGCAAGGTCAGCTTCCTCATTACCCGGTATACCAACGTGGCTAGGGACCCAGCAAAAGACTATTTTAATGTTCCTTTTGGAAGCGTCGATGATTTTATTCTGCAACTCTATGATTATTGGGTGTTTAGAGGTATTTGGTGATGAGAGCGCTCTCAGTGAACTAAGTGAATCAGTATACACAACTGAATTCATGCTCTTCGTTTCTATAATATGATTAACTGCCAGGCGGATACCACATAGTTCAGCTGTTAAAATAGTGGCTGTATATGCAATTCGTTGAACATAGCGAACAGAGGGGCCAACCACAGCACATCCAACGAATGCTTCTGTCTTGGTGCCATCTGTGTAATACAAGCTGTGTCCAGCGTATCTACTTTGGATTTCATAAAATTCCTGTTTGATGCATTCTGGTCGGGTGTCTTCCTTTCTGTACTTAGTGAAAAGTCACACAAATTGAGGTTATATTCCCACGGAGCTATTGCTTGAGGTACGGGGGTCACGGGCATTGTAGTGCTCAGTCCAACCGAATCTGCTGCATTTCTTATACTAAAAGGTGGGATTACAGAGGGCTTGTTGTCAAAGGTGCACTTATATCTTGTTTCTTCTACAACCTCGCGTGCAGGATGCAGGGTGAATGAACGTATTCTAAGAGAATACATAAACCCCAAAGCAAACCTTCGCTTCTCCAGAGACCATTCATTTGTCCCTGCATAAAGGCTGGGGATAGGCGACGTGCGAAATGCACCTGCAGACAGTCGCAATCCCTGGTGATGAATGGGGTCAAGCATTCGAAGAGCTGAGGGCCTTGCCGATCCATATACACAGCTACATTAAAGACCACCTACAACGTAACCGCCTATAGTGCAAAACCGGGTATAACGCGGTTTTTTTAAACCGCCGGTTCGCCTCCCATAGAACTCTATCTAATTACATAACGCTTAAAATGCAGGCGCGCGAAGAGAAATATTGGTTATAGTGCGGTTTCTGGCACAGCCCGCCGACCGCGCCGACGACCGGAGCAGTAAGCACACTTCCCTGTGCGACACTAGATAACGGCGCTGACGGCGCGAGCCACAAGCGGCACTCGTGAGGCAAGGAGTGTGCTCGAAGAAGTGGGAAGAAGCGAAGAAAGGCTTCAGTTGCCATAGCGACGGAGAGACGCACGCATGTGTCGCTCACGTGCGTGCGTCCCTCCGCTGCGTTGGAAACAAACAACCGCAACGACAGACCAATCGCAGGTCGAGGAGAATCGTTTGCGCGCGTTGCATGCCGGTCGCGGGCCGGCTGCTTCTATCCGCAAACATGGCGTCGGTTGTGATCGTCGTTGTAGACGGCGTTCATCTCATCGTTCCGCGTAAAAGCGCTATCCTTGACTGTGAATTTTCGTTGTGTGTCGCTATGATAACCCAGCACGTACTAGTAGGGAAGATCCACCTACTCGTGCGGCGATGTCGTGGCGGCGCTCTCAAGACGGCAAAAACGCCCGTGTTGTCGTGTTTGTTTACTTCGACTACAGTGGTGATTTCTAAGCATTTGTGTCCTCGAGCATCGCCCGGATTTCTCATTTGGCGCATTTCATGCGTGTGCTCAAGTTCAAGGTATTACTGGCGCGTACCGTATGAAGGATGCGAATTTTCACGTGTTTTCATCTCCGGAGAAAAGTGATTAGGGTTAGTAATCCTGAACGCTCGCAAAGTCCGTCCGCAACCCGCAACGCCGTTAAAAGGCTGCACCAGGCAAAAGCCGCTTATTTCTTTCAAAATGTGTGACACACTTGAGACAGAACTGTACTAGTCTGGTGAAATAAAGACTTTCCTCAAACTAAGCTTTATTTTTCATCTAACATAAAATAAATTCTTTTACAAAGGTAAGTTGTCTCATGGCATGTATTTTAACCTGAAAAATTGATGTTTTGGTTATAGCGCGGTACCGCTTATAGTGCGGATTTTCGCGGGAGTACGTTATATGCGGTCTACACTGTACCATAGTCAAGGCATGAGCGAACCACCGAACTGTAAATTCAGAGAAGGCAGAGACGATCAGAGCCCCATGAGGTATGAGAAAGGACTTTAAGAATGTTTAGTGCTTTCTGGCATTTTACCTTAGGATACCCAATATGAGAAAGAAAGGAGAGTTTACTATCAAAAATAAGCCCTAGGAACCTCTGTTCCGGTTTTGTTGGAATTGGAGTG